TGCGGGGCTGGACCACATGAGTACGTATGTGGTCCAAAAAAGGGTAAAGCATCTATCATAAAGATGGATGCAAGTAGGTGTCCATCTAAAAACTATAGAAACTAACGGTCCAAATATTTTTTTATTAGAATGATTATTTTTAGTTTTTAAAATTTATTTATTTTTTCATATTCTCCATGTTCGAGATTACATGTCCTTAAAAATTAAGTAAAAAAATATATCAAAAATAGATTTATTAATAAGCCCACATTTCAACATATGCAATCTGGGCTGCATAGAATCAGGTCCTATATGTATATTATGGTGCTCATACTATATAATATTTTATAATTGTACTCAATAAATTTGGGACATTTATATACCCTTACGTTGTACATTAAGTATTTTTTAGAAAGGGTATTTTTGGTTATTAAAATGCTATTTATAGAAAAAATATACAATGAGACTATTTGCCTTTGGTATAAAGTATTCACAATTAATCTTTACTATTGGATGTGAAATTGGGTGGTTGCATTTATTCCATGGACCAAACTCAAAGTTCAAAAAAAATATTTCGAACTTTGTGATACACCCAAGCTATCAGATTTCACATCGAATTGTTGTGATCTCCTTGTACTAAAAGATTAATGGTCTCATTATGTTAGGGTGCTTACATTATAGAGCATTTTATAATTCTATTGTACAAATTTTGGACACTAATATATCATTGTTTTGTACATGGAGCATATTTTGGTAAATGTATTTTTGGTCATTAAGTGGGGTCATCCACATAAGTCTGATAGCACTTATGAGAATGCCCTGGGACTTTGGCGGTAGCATTGCTGAGCCCCGCGATGAGGTCTTTGACTCAATTCTCACCTAAGGGTAGGGGCCAAAATCCCCACTGACTTTACCTCTTTACTTACCCTTTTATTAGGAAAAGAGCTTAGTCTTAATTGTTAAGCACTTGACGATTTGCAACGTTATGTCTTAGGCTCAATTCCTATCAAGGGTAGGGCCCCTCACCCAAAAAAAAAACATCACCAATATAGAGCACACTAGTGGTATTTAATACACCATATGGGTGATGTTACACCCCTTCTAAAGATAAAAATATGTACTAAAAAATATTGTATTATGAAGCAAAATTATATAAGTGTCCAAATATAATTATACAATACTCTATAGTGTGAGCACCCTAACACACACACACACACACACACACATATATATATATATATATATATGAAAAGTTCATGTACGCCCATGTGTGCACCGCTACAATAAATGCCCAACGACCCAGATAGAATCTAGGCCGATCTGATAGTCACGATTGTCCGAGAGTGTTTGAATTTTAATTTTTTTTACAAATCAAAATTATCTGAAATTTGGAGCGTGTGTATATCTTAGTAAGGCGCACTTAATAAAAATATAAAAAACATAATTCACAAAATATAGATTAACTAAAATACCCCTAAAATTTTTTGGGGGTATTTTAGTCCATTTATTTCATGTAATATATTTTTTTGATATTTTTCGTAGATTCGCCTATTTTTTATGAATATGCGCTTCAAATTTTAGATCATTCCAATTTGTAAAAAAAAAATGAAAAATAAAACACTACTGGACATCCGTGATCGTCAGATCGGCCCAGATCGAATATGGGCCGTTCGGCATTTAATGTAGTGGTGCATGAATCGGCGTACCGAAGCATCTTATATATATAGAAAAACACTACGCAATGCCTATAGGTGAAAATGAACAATGATTTCGCCTATCCCCATCACCGTCCAAAGTTCATCGTGCGGTCACGATTGTCCGATAGTGTTTTATTTTTCATTTTTTTTCTACAAATCGTAATGACCTAAAATTTGAAGCGTATATTCATAAAAAATAGGGGAATCTTATAAAATTATATAAAATATTTTACATGAAAAAATT